TGATTTTTGCACAGAAAAATTGCACTTTGGCTGTCACTCTTGATTGGAACCTGCTGCTAGTTCAAACCCATTTCTTCAAGCATTCCCCTAAGTCATATTGCTTCTTTTACGGCCTCTGTAATGGCAACATATTCTGCTTCCGTAGTTGACAAAGTAACTATTGCCTGCAGGTTAGCCTTCCAAGAAACCAGATTATTCCAAAAAGAGAAACAGAAACCAGTCATGGATTTCCTATTGTCTACATTTCCTACATAATCAGCATCCACATATCCTACAATGATATTACCATGATTTTGCCCCCTGCTGTAAAAAATACAAGTAGTTACATACCTAAGCACCCATTTTACAGCTTCCCAATGATTCTTCCCAGGATTATTCATAAACCTACTTACAGAACTAACTACAAAGGCTAAATCTGGTCTGGTACAAACCATTAAATACATCAAGCTCCCTATTGCATTTGCATACGGGATGCAAGCCATTTCTTTCCTTTCTTCTTCTGTTTCTGGGCATTTTACTGAACTGAGTTTAAAGTGCTGTCCTAAGGGTGTTTTGACAGGTTTGGAATTACTCATGTTAAACTTCCTTATGACTTTTCCAGCATATTCTTTCTGTGACAACATCAGTTTTCCAATTTTTCTATCCCTTTCAATATTCATTCCTAGGATCTTTTTAGCTTGCCCTAAGTCTTTTATTTCAAATTATCTACTCATCTCTCTCTTGAATCTAGCAATTTCAGAAAGATCTTTACAAACTAAAAGCATATCATCCACATACAAAGCCAAATAAGTGTAGCACTCACCATACAAACACTTAAAGTAAAAGCAACCATCAAAGCTACTTCGAATAAACCCAGCATTCACCATAAAACAATCAAATTTTCTATACCACTGCCTAAGTGACTGCTTTAATCCATACAGAGATTTTTTTAACAAACAAACTTGGTTTGTAGACCCCTTTTCAAACAACTCAAGCTGCTCCATCAGAATTCTTTCTTCTAAATCACCATTCAAGAAGGCAGTTTTGATGTCTAATTGCTTTAATTTTAAATCAAACTAAGCTACTAAGGCTAAGAGAATTCTGATAATGGTATGTCTCACAACTAGTGAGAAATTTTCATTGTAATCAACTCCTTCAACCTTTGTGAAATCTTTGGCTACCAACCTGGCTTTAAACCTAGGTGCTTTTACCCCTAGTATTCCCTCTTTCCTTTTGAAAACCCATTTACATTTAACCACCCTACTACCTTCAGGTTTGTTAACAAGAATCCAGGTCTGATTTTTTATTAGAGAATCATACTCTTCCTGCATGGCCAGTTTCATTCCCTAGAATCTTTACTAATCATGGCTTCCTTAACAGTTCTAGGTTCATCATCAATCTCTTCAGCAACTTGAAGAGCAAATGCTACCATGTCAGCATGTGAGTACCTCCTAGGTAGTCTAATTTCCCTTCTTTCTCTATCTCTTGCTAGTTGATAATTTTGTAAGTCATTTCCATCATCATCAATATCGTCATTATCACCTATGCTAGGTTCATCCTGCTGGGTATGAGAATCTGAAACAGAGTCTGAAACAGGATTGTTCAGATTTGGGATATCTCCACCTAGATCCAGATTAAACACCTCTGTCATATCTGCATTGTCACTCTCTTCCTGACTCAAACCACCCAACTCATCCTCATTAAACCTCACATCTCTACTAATAATACACTTTTTCCCTCCAATATTCCAACATTTGTAACCCTTAATGCCATCAGGATATCCTAAAAAAATGCACCAAATAGCCCTTGGTTGTAACTTATATGTTTTCTCATGAACAAAAACAGTGTAGCCAAAAACCCTAAGGTTACTATAGTTTGCAGGATGCCCAGACCATTTTTCCATGGGTGTTTTTAAACTAATAGCTGAGGAAGGTATTTTGTTTATTAGATAAACAGCTGTGTGGGCAACCTCTGCCCAAAACCTGGTAGGTAACTTAGAGCAGGATAATAGGCTTCTAACCTTTTCTAGAATGGTCTTATTCATCCTTTCTGCTAAACCATTTTGCTGGGGTGTGTGTCTTACTGTTCTATGCCTCAGAATTCCACTTTCCTTACACAAATTATCAAACTCTTCATTTATGAATTCTAAGCCATTATCAGTTCTAAGTTTCCTAATTTTCTTCCCAGTTTGTTCTCTATCATGACCTTTCAATCTCTGAATTTCCTAAAGGCCTCTCCCTTAGTTTTCAAGAAATAAATCCAGACCCTCCTAGAATAATCATCTATGATGCTAAAGAAATATCTGCAACCTCCCAAAGATGGATATTTAGTTGGTCCCCACACATCTGAATGGATATAATCTAAAATAGCCTTAGAACAGTGGTTTCCCACACTAAATCTGATTTTGTTCATCTTCCCATAAATGCAGTGATCACAGAAAACCAACTTCTCTACTTTATCTCCTCCTAGAACCTTTTGCTTACCCAGCTCAACTAATCTTTTTTCACTAATATGCCCTAATCTCCTATGCCATAAAGTTGTCCTATTAGACTTATGAGATAAGGATACTGCTACTGTTCCAGTGATGGTTGAACCATTTAGAATATATAGCCCATTCCTCATACCACCCTTCATTACAACTAAGGACCCTTTAGTTACTTTAAGGACTCCACCTTGAGCTTTATAGCTATAACCAATTGAGTCTAGACTTCCTAAGGATACTAAGTTTCTTTTTAGCTCTGGTATGTATCTAACATCTGTGAGCCATTTTGAACTTCCATCATGCAAATTCAGCCTTACACCTCCTCTTCCTAAGACTTTACAAACTGCATTATTTTCCATCAACACCTTTCCAGACTCTAGTTTCTTAAAGTTTGACAGAAAACTCCTATTTGGAGTCATGTGGAAAGAACAGCCAAAATCAAGTACCCATTCAGCATCAGTTTCATTTTCAAAAACTACTAACACATCAAAACTCTCATAACCATTAGAAGCTATACCTACATTCGCACTAGCATCCTTTTCCCCTGACTTCTTCTTCCTATCAGGATAGTCCCTCTTAAAATGACCTTCCTTATGATAATGAAAACATTTTCTAATGAATTTGGACTTAGATTTTGATCTACCCCTGAAATTCCCCTTCTTGTGGCCTTTCTTTTCAGATCTTCCTCTCACATAAAACCCCTCACCATCTAGTTTACCTTCCTTTTTAAATTTAGCATCCTTAGCAGTAATTGCTACCACTACTTCATCTAGTTTAAGGGTTTGTCTGCCATACTTAAGGGTGTCCACAAAATTTGAAAAGATTTTAGGAAGGGAGTTAATAAGAATCACTGCTTGATCTTCATCCTCAACCTTAACACTAAGTCCTTCTAAATCCTGTACAAGTTTCATAAAGTCATTCATATTTTCTCCTAATATTTTGTTTTCATCCATTTTAAAACTGAACAGTTTCTGTTTTAAAACTAACATATTAGGAGAAGACTTTGATAGGTATAGAGAGTCTAGTTTTTCCCAAATTTCAGCTGGTGTGGTCATTTTCTTAACTCCTCTTAAGGCCATATCCCCTAAACCTAGGATTAAAGTACTGTAGGCTTTATCTAACAGGTCTTTCTTCTCCTTCTAAGATAGGAGTCTGGTAAACTATCCTTACCCTCTAAAGTATCAGACAATCCATCCTTAACTAAGATAGCCCCCATTTTCATCTTCCACAATCCGTAATCATTATCCCCTGTGAATTTCTCCACGTCAAACTTAGACATTTTCTAGGTTCCTACCCTTTACAGATGCCCAGTGTATAAAAGCCCCAATTTACCCGAGACTAAATAGAAACCCTAAAATTGCAGCTATAAACAGAAAACCAGTACTAAGCCTAGATGCTTCAGATTCGCAAAAGATCTCTTAACTTAGAATAAAACCTAGGTGCTAGAATGAGAACCTAGCTCCGATACCACTTGCTGCAATTTAAAGAGACCAAAACGACAATCCAAAACAATCCAACATCCAACACAGCAGATAAAATCACAAGTAATAAAACAGATAATAAACTGAAAGTAAAAGACACAATGATTTATAGTGGTTTGGTAATCTTACATATTACTTACATCCACTCTCTAGGGCAATAAGCAGATTTTACTACGAGAATAGAGAACTTTACAGAGATTTATGCTCACCCTTTACATAGTGCACAAAACCCTTCTGTAAAAACCCAGATCTCCTCACCTCTCATACACCACACACAATAACCAATATTAGTGACAAATTTATACAGAAGTGTAACAAAAAAAAAAAAAAAAAGAATCCAGCTAAGACCTACCACCACATTTGATTCCATCAACGCTCTTCAGATTTCCAGCGCATCTAGAGATTCGTAACAAACTTTCTCTCTCTGTTAACCAAGAGAGAAAGGTCGAGAGAAACAGAATGAGCAAAACCTAATTTGGATTAGGTTTATTGAAGATTAGATATGACAGAATTGCCCCTTAGTCTTTAGCAATATAACTTTGACTACCCAAGTTCTATTTTGACTATACACGTGGGCATATGTCAATTGCCACATCACAATAAACACTGATTTTCATCTTGTTGCTTCTCATCTTTTGACTCTTGAAAATCTCCAAACTCTCTCTTTGCAAAACACCAATCTTTCAGGCACCATTTCTCTCACTCTTGGATCTAAGTGCAGCTCATATTTGACCTCCATAGATCTGTCTCACAACAGCTTATTCGGGCCTCTCTCCATTTTGTCCAAATTGGGTTCTTGTTCAAGCTTGAAAAGTCTCAATCTTTCAAGTAATCTTGTTGCTTTTTCAGGGGAAGAGTCTGGTGTGTTGAAGCTCAGTTTGGAGTCTCTTGATCTTTCTTACAATAATCAGATTTTAGGCCCCAAAGTTGTTCCATGGATTATCTACAATGGTTGTGAGGACTTTGCTAGCTTTGAAGGGTAACAAATTTACAGGAGAGTTAATGTGTCAAAGTGCAAGAATCTAAAGTTCTTGGATGTTTCCGTGAACAACATCTCAATGTCCGTGCCTCCTTTTGGTGACTGTTTAGCGTTGGAGCATCTTGATATCTTAGCTAATAAGTTCAGTTTTGATATTGTTCATGCAATCTCACCTTGTGAAAAGCTCACTTTCTTGAACATTTCAAGCAACCAATTTGGAGGTCAAGTTCCTATGCTTTCTTTAGCTGCAAATTTGCAGTATTTCCTCCTGGGAAACAATCTTTTTCAAGGGGAGATTCCTCTGCAACTAGCTGATTCTTGTCCAAGTCTTGTCAAGATTGATCTTTCTTCGAATAATTTGTCGGGTACGGTTCCCAATAGCTTCAGTTCTTGCTCTTCATTGGCCTTTCTTGATATTTCTTATAACAAATTCTCAGGCGAATTGCCTGTGGACACTTTCTTGCAAATGAGTAGCTTGAAGGAGCTTGTTTTATCCTTTAATGATTTCACTGGAGTTCTTCCTCATTCTTTGTCAGAACTCACCAATTTGGAGACTTTAGATCTGAGTTCAAATAATTTCTCAGGTTTAATTCCTACTAATTTGTGTGAGCATCCTGGAAACTCTTTGAAAGAGTTGTGTTAAATGTGAAGCCTCATTACGACACCGTTTAACTTAAGCCAAGAAGTTCCAAAACGACACCGTTGTGACTTAAACCGACGCTCAATCCTGATCGTTGGTTTGAATCCAGATCTAACGGCTAAAGACTAAGGCTGAGTCAAACCTATAAAAGCTGATGACTCTTCAGTTTTTCATTAACGCGTTTTTCTTCTATGTTGAATATCTCTCTGAGTTACAAATTAGGGTTCAAGATTAGGGTTTGTTCATGTGGGTGTAAATCTGCGGGAAATCTGTCCATTGAGTTGTGTTTCTTGGTGGGGAGGGAACTTGGTGTAGTGTTCTTATCTCAGATTGTAGGTTTACTGTTGTTGGTTCAAATCCTGTTTGATCTTGGTTGAAATCTTGTAAGAGAGAGAGATTGAGGGTTGTAATCGTTCTTGATCGAAATAGAAAGTGTAGCGAGCATCCATATTCTAGAGCTTAACGTGGACGTAGCTTGTTCAATATTGAACAAGTGAACCACGATAAATACTGTGTGTTGAATCTGTTTGGTTTGTGTTGATTGTGTGTTTGTTGGTTGATGTTTGCTTGATTTGTTTACGATTATTTACAACAAGTTGTATCTTGCTAACAATTTGCTTACTGGTTCCATTCCTCCAACTCTTATTTACTGTTCACAGCTTGTTTCACTCCATTTGAGCTTCAATTTGTTAGAGCATTCGATGATCAGTTGAGAGAATCAAGGAAATCAGATCACTCAAGCAACTGTGCTGCAGCTGAAGAGCAATTAAGAGAATCAAGGGAGAAAATATCGGATCAGATCAGAAGTGGTGCAGCAAATGATCCATCTCTAGACTTTCCTCATTCTGTTTTGATTCAAACAATAGGATAAAGTTAGCTGTAAAATGTATTTTGAACTCCTTAATTTTCTGTAGTTTGTTATATGTAATCTGCTATAAATACAATGGAATGAAATACAAACGCCAAGTAAGCCAATCAGTTCAAACTCTCTCGTCTCTATTTTACTTCCTCTGCTTATAATTCTTACACAATTTTCTCTCTGGAAGTATCCCTTCAAGCTTGAGGGCTCTGTCCGAGCTTCAGGATTTGAACCTGTGGTTGAATAATCTCCATGGGGAGATCCCACAGGAGCTTGGTAACATTCAAACATTGCAGACATTGATTCTTGACTTCAACCAGTTGTCGGGACCAGTGCCTTCTAGTTTAAGCAACTGCACCAATTTAACTTGGATCTCATTGTCGAATAACCAGCTGAGTGGTGAGATTCCTCGATGGCTTGGCAAGCTTTCCAACCTCGCGATTCCCAAGCTCAATAACAACTCCTTTTATGGTAGCATCCCGCCGGAGCTTGGTGATTGCAGGAACTTGATTTGGTTGGATCTTAATCCCAATAACTTAAATGGATCCATCCCTCCTGCATTGTTCAAACAATCTGGTAAAATCGCGGTGAATTTCATCGCGGGGAAGACTATGTGTACATTAAGAATGATGGTAGTAAAGAGTGCCATGGAGCAGGAAATTTGTTTGAGTTTGGAGGAATTAGACAGGAGCAGTCGAACAGAATTTCATCAGGAATCCCTGTAACTTCACTGGAGTGTATAAAAGTCTCACCCAGCCCACATTTAACAACATGGATTTCAAAAAGAAAGCCAATTCGATTAGTTCTAAAGATACAAAAGAGTCAAAATCAAAAAGCTCTTCTTTGTGGTTATAATTAGAATGCCAAAAATCAAGTCGACTCCCTTGTCTTATGTTGCTCGTTACAGGCGTCTGAATCTTCTATTTACCTATTTCTTTTTCTTTGATTTGTTATTTTATTTGTATTCAAAATAACCCTTACTCGGACATCTTTACCCTTGGCCATGAACCTCCTTTCGGGTTTTGATTCACCCAACTTTTCTATTTTCCGATCCAAAGCGAATAAGAAGAAAGGAACCAAAAAAAATAGAAGTTGCTAACAACTCAAAATCCAATTCTGAAATAAAGATTTTGTTGCAATCCATATAGTAAATAGTAAGTAATACAAAAATTTCTAACTATATTTCTACTCACAGTACAATATTTCATTTAAGTATCTTGTATTGTATGATACTCTTCCCCTTAATCAAAATACAACTATCTCCAAGAAAAAAATATTTGTTATGCCTAATATCTTTAGTTTGATTTATATCTATTTTAATTCTATCATCTATTTCAGTAGTTTTTTATTCACCAAATTGCCCGAGGCCTACGCTTTTTTGAACCCAATTGTAGATGTTATGCCAGTAATACCTCTTTTCTTTTTTCTCTTAGCCTTTGTTTGGCAAGCTGCTGTAAGTTTTCGATGATCTGTTGAACAACCATCTCAGTGGAATGATTCCTGAAGGTGGACAGCTCGAAACTTTTCCACCTACGAAGTTTGTCAACAATTCAGGCCTTTGTGGATTGCCTCTTCCACCATGTGGGAAAGATGCGGCGTTAAGCGCGAATTCTCAGCAGAAGAAGTCTGATAGGAGAGCAGCTGCTATTGTGCGAAGCATTGCAATGGGATTGTTGATCTCCCCCTCCCTAATTGTATGATTTTATACAATTTTCAAAACCGATTGAGTATATTTATATCTCAATTAAGGTAATCTTATCGTTGAACTATTATGTCATCATCGATCCTGAGATTTCTCCATATTTTAATTGTTTGCGCACGTGTGGTGTTCCTTTCTTTGCCTCTTCTATCTTTCTTGCTAAACCGATTGCAAATAAAAAAATCTATAAGTAAATATTTTTTTAAAAGAGAAAATTTTGTTAAATTTAATTATATGAAAAAAAAACCTGATTTTTTTCAAAGAAACATATTTATGCAAAAGGATTTTGTAATAATAGGATGAAGCTTGTCTTTGAAACATTACTACTGGCCAAAAAAATCTAAAATATATTGGCTGGTTTCTATAATATTTGAGCAAATATGTTTAGTACACTCTACGAGCTTCGGTTATAAATAGAAATCAGAGAGGTATTTATGTCTTTTTATAGTGAGTTTCTAAAAATAGTATCTTACAAATTAAATATCTCTATACTAGATAAGAAACTTCAGGCTACCTTTCTTTTTTTTTTAAACAAAAATAATAAATAAAAAAGTTTTTAAGAAATAACATTTTTTTTAATGATTTTTTTTACTTGATATAAAAATTTAGTGAATTTATTATTTATTGAAATTCTAATAATATAATGATTCATTAAAAATATCTAAAAGAAATATTATCATTTAACATTCAGGATTATTATCGTGGATCTTTTCTTAGGTTCAAAGTTCTAGCTAAAAACAACATGACAAATTTGAAGAAACTCGGTTCACCGTTGTTCAAACATCAATTATCGTTGCCGTTACCGTAGCCTTCACCTTTGAATCTCCAATACAATGATATGCAAATCAAGATGATATATCCTATAACAAGATCATCAACGAAACTGATCAAGTATCAAGGGCAAATAGGTAATTACACAATAATGTATTTTGAAGGGCAAACTTGGAATTTCATCTTTATACTCTTTTTTTCTAAAATATTTAACAGTCGGCTTATATTATAAACATTTGAAAGCAACAACTTGAACATCAAGTCATCAACAAAATTGACTCGAGATAGAAAATAATAATTTATAATTTTAAATATTTGTGTAAATAATTTATTAAAAAAAAAAACTATATTTATTTGGTTGTATGATATTAATAGATGCATGCGGAAAAATAGTTCGGTGCATCATATTTTGCCGTTCACTTTTAACTTTCATAACTCTATTATTTAATATATCAATTTGTATATGTCAATGCAAGATTTACACTAAAGGATTTTAAGATGGAACCAGAACTGATGTGTGCGTAATTAATTAAAATCAGCAATATAATGAATTTAAATGCAAAGAAAGTAAAGAACACAGAGGATTTTTAAAGTGGTTTGGCAAGTTTGCATTTTAAGCTTACGTCCACTGTATTTTTTATTGCTTAGAGAGCTTACAAGAAATATTATAATACCTAGAACAATTTGCTAAACCCTCTTCCATCGTTGGAGGTGTATATACAAGTTTCTTATAAAGGAAAGAGCGAAATTAAAGGAATTATAATCAAGATGAAAGTGCAACTTCGATATTCTCACGATTGAGCACTAAGATCGTCCTACCATTATTGTTGATTTGATCTCTTCCGAAATATCTGGGATCTGAGCTTATCTGTGATCTGCTTGAACAACTGTCAGGATTGGTCGTGACTAGCTTATGCTGGGTCGAGTTGTATCTCGACGAGCTTATGCTAGGTCAGACAAATGTTGAGTCGAGCTGATTTTGAGTCAAACTACATCCTCGCGAGATTCTGACTTCTCCAAGCTTAATGGAAAAATTACACACAACATCTGCTCCCTAGTGTTCGGTGCTCATTTCGAGCTTCTAAGACTAATTACTTGATTTAACATTTAGTTCAATCTTCACAAGTTGTATGTTGAATGCAGATTTGGCCGAGCTTCATGAGTCGGTCTTAGTTTCAATCAACGTGAACAAAACTTGGCCTTTTTTCCGCAGCGATATTCACAATGTTCCTAGAATTTTAAACGAGGGGCATGCGAGTAATTTTCACGCAGTCGTGTCGCATTAAATGCAGCTGGCTTTTACAGTTACTTTTTGTCACACGCGAGCGACTATAGCTGTCCATGTGCGAAGTCGAGTCAACATGCGACAACAGTTATGATTGCAGAATTCTAACGGTTGGTTTCCCGTTGTGGATGATTGACACGTGGACACATTGAGTGGTCAAGATTGCTCGATAAATGGAGGGCTCAGATTCGTCGCAGATCAACCGTCGAGGCCAGATCCCACCCTTTTGTCTCTCATGCTCACCACTATAAAAGCATGCACTCTTCGTCAGAATTACACATTTGCAATATCTCAAAGCCTTTGCTTCTTATTCTGTCGTTGCTCTCTCAAACTTACAGTGACTTTTCTATGAATTCCCACCACGTTTATCACTTCGGTAAGGCTCTTGTCTTCACCCTTCTTTATTTCAAGTTTTCTTTGCTGTTGAGGGTAGCCATTGTCGTGGCCACGTTAGCTTTTTTTAGGGTTTTTTTAGTAGACCCACCAATTTGGGTTTTAGGAGGTGGCCGCCGAAATCTTGGTAGCTCACTTGTATCTTTTGATCAATGCAAGTTATCCCAAATGTCTGAACTAAAAGCAAAGTGTGAATAGGTCGCCGATATTTCGAGTTCTAACACTTGGTTGCTTCTGTTTCAAGTATCTAGACATGTGCTTCCACCATGTCTTTGTCTAGCAACCATAGTATAGATCGCCTATTCGAGTCCCCGACAACTTCAGTTGTTCGTAGGGAAGTAGTCCTAGAAGTTTCTAAGGACTTCATTATGAGGAGCTCGGACAATAATGCTATGAGCTCCTCAAACAATGCTTCTGCCAAGCTTCCCTCGCCAAAGAGCTCAACAACCCCCAGACTTAGGAAGGAACCAAGTTTCTCGATTGGGGTCGACGATCTCGAGTGCATAAAGAATATTTATGCGACTCGACTTCCGTTGAGGGCTTCAGGAGATATCTTTCAGGAAAATCCCCCTAGAGGTAGGGTGACGATTTCAGACACCCTCCTGAGGTTTGGGATGTCCATTCCCTCTCATTATTTTATTGTTAACGTGCTAAAAAGGTTCGGTATTGCTCCCCTCCAATTGAAGGGGAATTCATACATAATAATTGTAGGAATATATATAGCGTACCAGATAGCTAGCGAGCTATCGGTGAATCGTCCACCTATATAGGTTAAAGAAGAGTCAAGACCAGATGTACTACCTCTTTATGGTGAGGAAGTAAATTGGGACTCCCAATATTTCTTCTATGAAGCCTGCCTCAAAAGCTAGTAAGAACTTCGATCTCTGCACGAATCAAAAGGGTTTTCTAATTTTGTAAGCGAACTAACCCTACACTTTCTTTGTTTTGTAGTAAATGTCAAGCAAAAATTTGTTTTTTGAAGCAAACCAAGAGCTGCTTCAACGTTTTAGCAATCTTCCCAACGGCAAGCGCAATGTTACCCAGCTCATCACGCTTAGCGTACAGCTAAGTGTTCAGTAGCTTGCTATTTATGTCTCCATCTTGATAGTTCACTAACAGTTCTGCTTTCTTTGCAGATATGTGGGCTGATAAGCCAAAAAACCTAAAGAAGAAGGCCCCAACCCACGAGGCTACTAAGAAGCATCCGATCATCTCGGTGAAGACACAGCCTGTGGACATTGTCGGGGTGATCAAGCCAGGTACCTCGCGACCAGCCCTCAAACGCACCGGCGGTAAACTTTAGAAGGCCCAAGTGCAAAGAAGCCTACAACTACTTCCAAGGTAGTCAGGCAAAAAGGAACTCCCAAGTCCCCCAAGGGCTCGACGAAGAAAATATCCGAGCAGATGAGAGGCACAAGGAAGAAGAAAGTGACTGAGCAGCAGGAGGGCTCGGGAAAGAAGAAATCAGCCAAGCAGTAGGGCGACTCAGGAAAGTAGAAGTTGACTGAGCGGTAGGGAGGCTCGGAAAAAGGACTATCGGGCTTACTAGTGTCCCGAAGAACATCTTAGTCAAGAGCATGACCAAGAAGAAGTTTGTTCTGGCGACCAAGGCCGCCATCCTTATTGAAAGTAGGGATAGCCCGCCCCCGCGACGCGGTAAAGGGAAAGCGGATGAGGCAGCTCAGGCCGACCTTGATGAACGGATCGGCAAGCTTTCCAAGCATATAGGCGTTTCAAAGCAGACTTACCAGATGCTCAAGGCTACTTCTCCTCACGAGCAGCTTGCTCACCTCTGTAACTATGCCTCCAAGGTATTGGTAGTTTGTATTTCTCAAATTGTTCCGAGGTCTTTCCCTTTCCTTTTTGCTGATTTATTTTTTTCTTTTCAAGCTTGCATGGTGACTAAGCTCCTTTTTATATGAGAGCTATCTAACCTTGGAGGGCAATCACCTAGGCTGGCAAGAAGCGGAAAAGCTCAAGGAAGAAGCCTCGGTGAGGGCCAAGGTGGCAGAGAAAGAAAGAGAGTCGTTACGAGCCAAGCGTGAGCGACTAAAGGTGCAGGCTGAGGCCCTCGAGGACAAAGAGAGAGAGTTTCTCAACAAACTCTCAGCAAGCGAGGTCGTGCGGCAAAAGTTAAGAAGAACCTGACAAAGGCCGAAAGGGACCTAGCACAACAGCGAGGTGCCAACAATAAGCTGGCTTCCGAGCTTGCCGTGACTCAAAAAGCTGCGTTAGATTGGGAAGCCAAATATATAGATGCCTCGAGCCAGCTCTTCCAAGAGAGGGTGGACCGCAAGGATGTCAAATAATCAGAGGTTGTTAGCCTAAAAAAAGAGGTTAAGGGGCTGAAGTCGGAGGTCAAAAGCCATGTTTAAAAGACGTCGGTCTACTTGGTCTAGCAGCTATGGGAGGTTCATCCCTCACTAGACTTCTCCTTTCTTCCTACTGTTTATCAGAAAGAAATTAAAAGGATGAAGGTTGAAGTAGAGGGCTTGGAGTTTGTTTACTCAGACAACTCCGAGTCCGACGAGAGTGAGGATGAAGAAAAAGCC